CCAGAGGAACAATGGTTCATAGATTGAGCTTCGGTCTTTGATGCAGCCGGCATTTGATCCCTTAATTGCTTTTAAAATTAGAACCCAGGACTTAACTGGCATCAAGAGTTGACTGGGAGCCAGTCGAGGGGTCTAAGCCCCGGAGAAGGCAGGAGCCACATTCTGGAGCATCATCTTCACATTCAGCTTCAAATATAATGAATTACAATAATCCAGCCTGGAGGTGACAAATGCATAGATCACTCTGGCCAGATCCTCATGCTGGAGGAAGAGACGTTACCTAGAAAGATGGCGGTGAAAAGACATTTTTGGAAACAGATCATATCTGATCAGCCAAGCTTAGCAAGGAATCAAACAGGACCATGAAACCTGGAACCACTTTGATGAATGGGAGCTGTATGCCTTTGATAGAAGGTGAAGACAACTTCTTGGCCAGTTCTTCGAAGCAGTTCCTCTTTTCAACGGGCATCACTTCACTCTTGCCTGGGTTCCGCTTGAGCCAGTGGCTTTGCATCCAAGAGCTAATTTCCTGTAGGCTTTCTGACATTTTAGTAATAGTGGTTGTTGCATCGGTAGTGAACGAGAGATAGAGTTGAGTGTTACAGAAATTCACCCCACTGAGGCCTTAAATTAGGAGAGATTACTCAAGGGGATCTAGACAGACAGACTGCAATCAATAAAAATGACATCCACACAGGGGACTTGAGTTATTGGGAAGGGATTGTGCAAAATGAGTCCACTCAGTGCTTGACAGAAAGCTCTGGGGGACTCCAGGCTGCAAAAGCTTGTGAATCCAGAGGTCTGATGGTTTGTGGGAATCTGCTGGATGAGATTAAACAGCCAAGTGCCCTGTGAATTTGAGTCTGGAAAAGAAAATATTGCGAACTGACATTGCTCATCCACCGTGCCTCTGAACCACCAGTTTAAAACGACATTAGAAGGTCTGCTTTGCTAAGCTTTTATGAAGCGCAAAGAGCCCGTTTCCAAGTGACAGGATGTCGGCTAAAGCCACCCCTCAGTTAGGACCTGATCCATTTCTCACTGAAGGCAACGGCCAAGCTCCCATTGAATCAATGGAGCAGAATCCAGCACAACAACACACAGAGCATTTGCAACGAACGTCCGCGGTAGCTGTAAATGCCTCAGGGCCTGGCGCCTCCCGTTCTAAGGGAGGCGTCATATTTTCACTCTTGTGTTCTGCAGCGTCAGCTCCTGCCGGTCTGCTTCAGCTTTCCACGTTCAGTTACGGTCAGCTGAGATGCATTAATGGACACTGCAGATGGGGTTTGAAGTCTAGTCCTTCAAAGGGTATTGGAACAGGGAGGCAGCCCTGTCATACACCAAGTTCTCACATAGGGATGTCATGGAGCAGGCTCCTAGGAGCACATGGTAGAATTCTGCCTGCAAATTAAAGGACGAGTCAGAAGGGGACATGATTTCCTGCTACTCATGGAGTTTACTTCCTCTATGGATACCGTCAAAGCATCCCTATCAGAGATGATTTCTCTTTGGAGCTCATAAAGAATCTTCTGGGGAGCTATTACTCTGTCTTTGGGGTGCACGAGTGTGCACTAAATATCAAAAGACCCTACGCTGGATAGAGGGACGGGAGGGAGAAGAAGACAACCAAGACCCTCTACAAGACCATACCCCATTTCGCAAGTAGAACACAGCACTGTGGCATCAATCAGCTCCATATCGTTTTCAGAGACGAAGGACTTTTCCAGCAAAGCGGAGCTTAATATACATTTCTCTTGCAAACAGCAGGGCTGCCATCCTCGGTTATCGTCGCAAGAGAGCGTCTTTGTTTCCCGGGGAAAAGAAAAGGCCATGGTTCCGATGTTCAAACTTGTCTAGTGGATTCAGACACACAGTCTCCATTGCTACTGAAAGGCCAGCTGGCATAAATTCGCACAGCTTCATTGTAACCAATGGCACTACACCAATTGACACCAGCTGAGGATCTGGCCCAACATGTCGAACTAGACAGCTTTGAATTCAGCCTAGATTCACTGTCCTTCTTTACTGTAGGCACATGTATCCCTAGGACATGGCTAAGAAAGGTGACTGGTTTTTCAGGGAGCTCCTTCTTAAAACACTGGCAGCATGTTGCTGCACTCAACATGTTCCTTTCTCTGAGTCCTGAAAAACATGTTTCAATACATCCTTAGGAGTAAGATTAGCACAGGCATTTGAACACCAGCAACGACTGTTGTATTACACTTCAAAGATACACTAAACCCAAGAAGTATGCTAGGATATATAGCTATTTAAACATACTACATAAGCAATACTCTGATTTCCTATTAGGCAAATTCTTCATCTTGACTTTATACAGATCCATTAACTGTGATTTCTTTCTTGCAATTAGGGAAGAGGGTGGCTGTAAAACTGGCAATGAAACTTGTTAGTAAGTTGTGTATAATTTCGTTTGTATTTGCCAAGCACTAATTGCCTCTTACTTAGATGTTTTTTGCTTTGTTGTTTGGCTCAAAGTATTTGCAAAATGAAATGTATTTTATGCAACTGGCTGATTAGGGGAAAGCCAAGCTATGGGATGGTTCCAGCGTGGGTCCTCGGGGACACCAGACAGAGGTGCATCCTGCGGGTCATGCACCGGTGCTTTTCAGCAAGACCAAAACCAAATTGCTGCCCTAAGACAAGGCAAAGTGCTTAGAAAAAGGACATTGGACACTAGTCAGCAGGTGGCTCTTCACTTGTAAACCATTCAAGGGTGGATTATAGGTCAGAAACAGTTTGGGACAGGCGCCACTCATAGGAAGGCTCTATGCCTTTAGGTTCATGCTGGTATCTTGTGAGTTTAGGCTGCGATGCACACATGATGAATCTGGCTATGGGGTAAGGAACTAACTTGAACTCCACTCATGCATCTGTCTAACACTTGGGCAGAGATGACATCTCCATGCTAACCACCCCGAATAGGTTAATTTGGGCTACTAGCCAACAGGACCTATTAGCAGGTAACCTTGCCACAATGAACAGCTCTGGGAAGGTGGCTTCAGTCTCTTCTAAGTGAGGTGAAGTTATAGAGAACGTGCATCTTTCACTTAGGTGGGAGGGGCATGAGGCTCACAGTTGGCTACTTTGTAGGGGCACATTAGCCTGGGACTTCCTGGCTCCTAGTGACCAGGGGTCTCTTGGTCAAGCAGCCTCTTCCATCCTGAAGAGGAAGGTGCATTCACACTGATGATAGGACGTTTGTCACCTCCTCCTGCAAAGCCACAGTGCTCCCCTTTCTCCTTTCACAGGTTCTGGGATGTAAATGAAGTAGCAAAGTGTGGAAAACTATGGGAAACCTTGGCATGTGACTCACCACTGGAGTGAGCACCCAGTTAAAGGTGCTAATGCCCAGAACAGGGAGTGGCATTCATAGACTCATAGACTTTAAGGTCAAAGGGACCATCATGAACATCTAGTCTGACCTCCTGCACATCACAGGCCACAGAACCTCCCTCACCCACTCCTGTAATAGACCCTCTAACATTCCTTGCACTGCTTGAGGATATCAGACTACTAGAGAGAGACCTCAGGGCCAAAGTTTGCAAGAGACACTAGTGATTTTGGGTGCTCCATTTGAGACATGTTAAAAAGACTGATTTTCAAGAAATGCTTAGCTCCTGCTCTCTGAAGTTCAGGCCCCTTGAAAAGCCATCTCAGGTTGGCCACCCGGAAATAGAGGCAGCCAAAGTAACCAGGCACTTTTGAAAATCTCGGAGATGTTTTTAAGGTAAGAGAGGAAAGAACTGACTTCAAACAAGTTGGGAGAAGATTGCCTTTTCTTTTCTTTTTTTAATACACTTTTTCTAATGATCTGGGATCTACAGACCCAATTTTGCAAACACTTGTGACCACTGTAAAGATACAAAATCCTGGATTTTTATTTATTTAAGGCTGGGGTTTTTAAAGAAATCTAAGAGAGTTCAGCATTCCAATCCCAATGAATTTCAATAGTCTACTTTGAAAATCCCAGGCTTCATTCTTACCTTTCCTTTTCACACCTTGCATAGATCATTACAATTTAAAGATGTTTATTCTGAACATTCACTAGGCACTATTTATGAGATTGATTATTTACACTTCACACAAGGAAACTAGGCTGGTTATTTTCACTCCCACTTGTTTTCTGAAATATACAAGATCATTGCTATAGCATTTGCACTCCCATCAAAGCAAGGGAAATGCTCAAGAAAACCTACCCTGACCATTTTCATGGCAACAAAATATTATGAAATGTTTTCTATTCAAATTGGGCCAAATCCCTATTTCAAAGAGGGCTGCAGGTGCTTAGCATCTCTGGGAATCTGACAACCTCCTTCCTCCACTTTTTTTGTTTATAGCTGGTATTCTTTGACATTGTCTTTAAAAAACCCTAAGCTTTTCAATTCCCTTGTAAAAAAGTTACTGTCTGATATCCATGTTAGACTGATGTGAAAAAAAATAAAACAAAAAACAAGGCAACAAAAATAGAACCTTCAAAGAAAACAAGAACTAAAATTACAAGAAGGAAGCCAATATTTTCCCAGTGCTGAATTATGCTGCATAAGATCATTGAAGAGAAAAGCCCTCAGAACTCTTACAGCTTGCAAGACAAGATATGTGACAGCTATGACTCACAGGATAATCTCCTGCTTATTTGGAATTTAGTCTATCATAAATTTTCCATTTTTCTTGGTACTTCTCCCTTTGTAATATGAAGCACATTAACATATTCAAATACACCATGCTCCCTGTATAGAGTCAGTCATTCAAAGCCCAGATCACAGCCCACTAGCACCTAGTGTCAGGAATGCATCACACTCTAAGGTGCTTTAAAAATAAATATTCAAAAGCTCTGAGTCAGAATCCTCCAAGTGCAATGCCCACCACGGAGCTGTCAAAACTGCAGCGGGATTACATGTCCTGAGATGACAAGATCCACACGAGACCACATCCCTGCTTCTTCTGAGGCAAGCAAATGCCAAGAACTGAACTTAGATTACCTTCATAGGTTGCTTTGAATCCTAGTAAGTTGCGGACGCTGTCTGTCTGGAAGAGGAGCCACATCTGGTGATTTGTGCTGACAATCAGATCAGGAACCGTCGTACCTGTCAAACTGTAAAAAAAAATAATGCTTATTTCCCCTACAGGAGTATTTGGCTTGCTGTCCATTTCAAAGACCACATACCCCTTTTCTGTGGGGTAGACAATAACTTGCATCAGTGCTATCATATCTCACTTAAAAAAAACCTAATTGAGCAAATTTTAGTGCTTCTAAAAGTAAAATATTGATACATCTTCCAGGATCCAGGCTTAGAGTAGGCAAAGGCTAAACAACCTCATCCCAGCCACATTTCTCTCTCAATCCCAACCCATAGCACTGCTCCTTTTCCCTGGGCCAGTCTGAAATGGACTAGCAACAGAAAATGATAACGGGGCCAAGGTCTGCAATGGTTTATTTTTCCTCTCTGAAGGGCAGCAAGAAACAAATTGATCGGAAGACAGTGAGGTCTAGTGGATAGGGCACTGGTCTCTTAATCAGGAGACTTGGGTTTTGCTCTGCCTGTGAGCTTAGCAAACCACTTAGGCCTTGTCTACACTGCAGGCGGCATAGCTATGACACCAGGGCTATGCTGGCATAACTTCGCGGTGTTGATGCAGCCTACAACTGAGGGGTTTTTCCATCACTGTAGAACATCACCTCCCTGAGTGAAAGTATCCAGGTTGATAGAAGCATCCTTCCATCAACCTATTACATCTACTCCAGGGGTTAGGCCAACACAGCTGCACTGCTCATGAGTGCACATTTTTCTCATCCCTGAGCATTGCAGCTATGTCTGCTAAAATTGCCGACCAGGCCCTAATCTCTTTCCTCTCCCACCTGCTGTCCAGGTAGACCGTAAGCTCTTCAGGGCAAGAGTCAAGCTCTCACTAAGTGTCTGCACAGCGCCACGTTCAGGGAAGCCCTGATCTCAGTTGAGCCATTCGGGCAATATTGTAATGTGGATAACAGCAACTTCCTTTGTCACTGAAACAGGACGCAAAACCTGCAGGTGAGGGAAGCGGGTGACTGAGTCACCTTCATTGCCTCTCCCCCCCCGCAGTTACTTATAAAGCAAAAATGTAGCCAAATATTAGAAATTTAATTTAATCACATTTCACGCAGCACTTCTCAGCTGACAGGTAAGTTTTCACGGGGACCGCAAACAAACTGCAGACGGGCACAAACACTAGTGCCTCTGCTGATCCTCCATGAACCCTTGATGATGCCATGATGCCACACCCTAGGGAAGCGCTGGAGCGTTGTTTAAGTAAGGCTCACCCTGGAAAGATATTCTCAGGAGAGCTGAACCAGCAACCCATTAGAGAAATGCCACAACAGATCC